GTGAGGAGATTCGGGTCGCTGGCTTTCCTGCCGAACCAAGTCGCGTAGCCTTCTCGGCAGCCAATAAACTTAGGGCTAACCTTGTAGGAAACAATGGAAGAAGCCCTGTGGTGAACTTGGCGAGGGTAGTTGTTTCCATACCCAACCATGTAGCTAGTGGCTCTTGGGTTGTCCCCAAGAATGTAGTCCACCTGAGAAGTCAAAATTTCCAATCCACTTGTCAACAACAATAATCATACTAACACTCCTTGCTTGACAATGTTTACTAAGCAAAATATTATATGTCATCTTTTCTTAAGAGGACAAAATGTTGACTTCTCCAATTTACCTGAGATTTCGCGAAGGAGAGAAGCTGGGATGATGGGACGCTGCCGGAGGCACACTTGAGGGGTTTTCCGGAGGAGGCGAGGTAGTCAGAGTAGACAGTGGCCAAGAAAGAAGCACTCGTGACGAACTGCATGTTGTTCCATCTCTGCCTGAAAATGAGGCCACCAGGAGTCTTTTGCACGTTACGAGCGCCCTTGCCGATGCAAGAACACATAAAGTACTCTGCCTTCTGCTGGTAACTCTCAAACACTGATGCGTAGCGACCAGCCTTTCCTTGCATTAGGAACTGTAGTAGGAGCAGGACACACATTTTAGCATATCCTTGCCTTTAACAAATGTGGCATTTATGTTACTTAGCCTTGCATTTTCCGGGCAATAGTGTAGAAGAACACTCGTCTATTTCAAAAATAATCTAATTATGACTCAAATTTACTAAAGTTAGTAACATTGTCAACAACAAAGGCACGCTAAAGTATAAATTTATGCGGCTTAAACGTAATAGTTGTTGAAAATTTTGACCCAAACTTGTTAAAATTAACAACGTTATTCACATTAAAATACTCAATATCGTTGTTAACAAGCTAAACATTCTAATGTCAACAACATTTGCTAACTTCAACAAATTAGAGTCAAAACTTTCACCAAAACAAACATAATATTTTTTGTCATAATAATATATATTAAGACAAATAATACTATGTTAAGCAGCCAATATTTAGTGTCCATATTTAATACATTACCTTGGCAACAAGAGTCTGAACACCAGCATATTTAACATCCCAACCAAACTCAGTCATGCCCCATCCAGTTCCACCCATGGAATCCCCATTCTTCGCAAGGTAGTTCAAGTAGTACTGGTTGTTAGTGGCCTGGTACAACCACGCCGCGGCCCATAGTAACTCGTCCTGTTTAAACACATCAAAGCCCAATAAAAAAAAGCCCAACTCGATAAGTACGACTAAGGAGGCCCATAAAAGCCCAAAGTTAACGCATACGTACATTGTAACCGCTAATGGACCGGTAGTATTTTTGGGCCACAGTGATGCTGCCGTCGTATTTGCCCCTGTACTTATCGGCGAAATCGAACAGCTGAAATAAAAGGAGAGAAAGCAGAGCCGTTAGATTTACACTGGTAGTAATTATTGTAAAATATAGAGGGTATTATTGGAAACCCAAGAAAGGAAAGCATAGATAAGGTGGGGGCGACTGGCGAGTCTGTTTGTGGGCGTTACGAATCCACCGACAGGACTCGCACGTGACAAGGCACATGAAAGTCGCACTCATTATGGATCTTACA